CCCATTGTACATCTCCCAGCCTCGAACTGCAGTGTGCTCTCTTCAAAAGCTGCTGGAGAGAATGAACTTTGGCCACAGAGATGTGTGGAATCAACATGATTCTGTCTTCTCACTCACAAGGTGACAGTGGATGCGCTATGCCTGGCAATCCCTACAATGCTTGTAGTCTCAGTGTCACCCACATTTAAATACCTTGCCTTGAGTCATCAATGGCATAGTTCAAGGATCTGTCACATTTGATGCTGTCTCAGTGAAGGAGTCGTTGTTCATGGGAGATGAACAATACTTGGCCATTACAACTTCTTGCATCCTTGGGATGTCTTAAGAGGCTGATCATCTGTTACATGGATGTGACTTCCAACAGGTCTGACAACCACCGGGGCTGACATTTTAAGAGTGCAAGTGAACATATATTTACAAAAGCACAATGCTGTGAATAACAGATCACTTATACCATTGATCTTTGCATCAGCAAGAAGTGTGCTATGAGCTTGCACTATTTAATTAGGCTCTCCACCATAGCACAAATGGTGGAAGATATCCTAAGTTCTATCCCCAACTTCAACATTTCTCATTTTAGTTGGGGGTGGAATTGGGGGAAAGTCTGTAGTTTGCACACGCATGGTTTGCAGATGCAGCTGTCAGTTAAATGCGCTGTTAGCATGAGGTGGGTGTCTATGTGTCCTTTGAAGGAAAGGTCAGTCAGATACCTTTAGAAGGGGAGTTGGGTACACTTTGGTGAGGTGTCATGTCCCACTTGCATTGTTAATTGTAGAGAATAGCGTGTATAAAATGTGCATAACGCCTCTGGAACTGTCAAACTTGTAAAAAAAAATACCTGGCAAACCTATCAAGATGTGTTGAGACCCGCCTGTCAGAAATTGTGAAGCCATTCAAAGCTTTGTCAATATATGTTTTGCAGAATAACAATGGTTTTCTCAATAGGGTGCAGTGTTCCACACAGAACTTTAAAGTGCAAGAAATTTTTTTTTCTCTTGTGTGCATGGCTACTTGGCGATACTGAGTTAGTTTGCAGGGTGGGTGGAGGGTGGAAGTAGGTACAAAGTTGGCACTGGGAGTCTAAGGGTCCATGGGGAATGGATAGACAGTGAGTGGACAGCATTGGAGGTTGGTTAGCTCAGTTGGCTGGACAGCTGGTTTGCGATGCAGGGTGATGCCAACATCATAGTATCCCTACAGTGTGGAAGCAGACAAGTCAACCCATTGAGTCCACGTCAACCCTCCGGAGATCATCCTACCCAGACACATCCCCTACCCTATCCCTGCATTTCCCATCCTAGACACTATGGGCATTTTAGTACAGCCAATCCACCTAACTTGCACATCTTTGGACTGGGGGAGATAACTGGAGCACCCGGAGGGAACCCACGCAGATATGGGGAGAATGTGCAAACTCCACACAGACAGTACAGCCTGAGGCTGGAATCAAACCCAGGTCCCTGGTGCTGTGAGGCAGCAGTGCTAATCACTGAGCCACCATGCCACCCTTGCTATATTCCCACACTAGCTGAGGTCACTTATCGACCTTCTCAGCCTTCTCAACCTTACCCCTCATGGTGACCCTTACGTTAAACTCATTACAAGTGGGCTCTCTCTAATGAGACAGCAGATTTATGGAACTACAGCAACATCCACATACAAGTGTGATAGGTAGGGGGCATTAGGTGTCATGGATGAGTGAGGGTGAAGGCTGGAGAACTGATTTACATTTTACTGTTTGTGTTAATTTTTGAACTCAGTACTAGTCAACTTCCAATCCACAATCCCCCATCGCCACATCCCACTCCCAACAACTTCCTGCCAATTTGGGTTTCCCAACTCTGTGTACACAAGCTGGGAAGGAAATTTGGCCTCATTGCATCAGCACTATTTCAATGGCAGCTTTCATACAGATGATTTTACCTTTTGGTGAAAGTGGAAAATGGGCATCGGTAGGTTGACCAGCAACAATGAATCCTTTTCCTTCCATAAGACCATAAGAATTAGGCCATTCAGCCCATTATGTCTGCTCCACCATTCAATCTTAACTGGTATGTGTCTCAACCCCATTCTCTTGCCTTCTCCCCATAACCCCTGATCCCTTACTAATCAAGAACCTATCTATCCAATTCTTAAACACAGTCAATGACTTGGCCTCCATAGCCCTCTGCAGCAATGAGTTCCACAGATTAACCCTCTGTGGCTGAAGAAATATCTCCTCATCTCAGTTCTGAAGAGTCATCCTTTTCACTCTGAGGCTGTACACTCAGGTCTTAATCTCTTCTACTAGTTCTCCATGTCTACTCTATCCAGGCTTCTCAGTACTCTATAAATTTCAATCAAATCTCCCTCATCCCTCTAAATTCCATCAGATAGTGACCTAGAGTCCTCATATGACAAGCCTCCATTCTTGGGATAATTCTTGTGAACCTTTTCTGGAACCCCTCCAATGCCAGCACATCCCTCCTTAGATATGGGGTCCAAACTGCTCACATTATTCCAAATGTGGTCTGACCAGAGCCTTATACAGCCTCAGCAGTATATCCCTGCTCTTGTATTTAGCCATTAAGTCAAAGGTTTGCAGATTCTTTCAGATGACTCTTTTAACCAAAGCTCAGACTGCTGTCTAAGGTGGAGGTAAATACCTGATAATATTTTTTGAAGAACAGCAGGGACCTATGCCTAGCAGACATAGATAGTCAGAGGTGTTCTCCCAGGGTGGAACACAACACAGGTTTAAGGTTACAGGGGTAAAGTTTAGGGCAGGAATGCAGGGAAACATTTTCACAGAGAGTCATGGGTGCCTGGAATGTACTGCCAGCGGAGGTGGCAGAAGCAGACACATTAGCAACATTTAAGGCTTATTTTGATAGACACATGAACATGAGGCAAACAGAGGGACAGATACCACACATGGGCAATAAGTAGAAGGTCTAAATAAGGATTAGGAAACAGCACAGGCTTGGTGTGCTGAAGGGCCCGTTCCCGTGTTGTATTGTATTGTCGTCACATTTATCCCTTGATGAATACAGCTGGAACAGATGACATGACTGTTTCTCTAATTGCTGTTTATGTGAATTTTTAAATTTGTTGCAGAGCATCACTTTTTACAACAGTGTCTACACTTCAAAAGAAAATGGTGCAAGAAGGAACTTATGTTGTCTGCAGACACTTTTTGGTAAATTTTTGATTTTGACTTTATGCCAATTCATTTCCCTTAGTTTCACGCTCTCATACAAATTCCTAATTATCTCTACTTAATGGAGGCGCAAAGTGAAAGTAAAGTTGCCATAGTCCTAGAGGGCCATAGGACAGCTCTCTCATTAGAGAGAGAGAGACTGGTGGTGGTTTAACCTGAGGGTCACCACGCATCAGGCAAGTGGAGGTTGAGAAGGAGAGTCCTTCACCGTATCGTCAGCTGGTGCAGGAATTGAACCCACACTGTTAGAGTCACGCTGCATTGCAAACCAGCTGCCCAGCCAACTGAGAACATATATAAATGGTAACTGCCTTAATAGGATAGAGGAACAATACAAGAATGTGAAATTTGCTGATGTTACAATGACTAGGAACAGAGATTTAAAGATTTGGGCAAGATGTACCACAGCAGGTGGCAGGGATCTGTACCTAAGGAGATTGGTAGAAGCAGAGATCATCAGAGATTTTCAACAAACATTTGATGGAATTTAGTGGCAAATAAACTTGCAGGGCCACTGGGATGAATGAAAGGAAAAGGATTGACTGTACGCTTTACAGAGAGCCAGCATGGATTCAGTGGACTGAACAGTCCATTTCCTTATCATAAGAGCTCTGTGGATCAGATTTTTAAATAGAGTTAGGAACCTAACACCTGAATGAATTCCAGGTCCCAAAACCACACCCCATGTTGCTATTGTGCTGGAAACTGAGGATACAAATATCCTAATTGGCTACTTTGTTTAGAACCAACATAATCAAAGATCTCTCCCACCCCAATATACTGTCTTCAACCTTCTGCCATTGGGCAGAAGATATAAAAGTTTGAATATACATAGAAATAGGTTCAAGAACAGCTTCTTCCCCAATGTTATCAGACTTTTGAATGCATCTCTCAAATGATAATTCTGATCTCTCTCTCTGGACCTTCTCTGCAGGTGTAACACTGTATTCTGCACTCTGTTCTGCTACCCAGATGCACTTTGTATGGTGCAACCTGCCCGTATGGCACTCAAAACAACACTGTTCACTATATCACAGTACACGTGACAATAATTAATCAATCAACCAGTTAGTGGTGCTGAGTGTCTCTAGGAGATGGCAGCAGCCCCTGATGACATCTGCAAGACAGCAGCAAGAGATTAAAACAGACTGCTCCTCAGAAGGTCAGGACCTTGAATGTGGCAGAGACCAGGCATGGAGGACAGGGTTAAAAGCAGCATTTATGTCAGTATTGGTTGGCACTTTACATCTGATCCTAAATGGAAAGGTTACTCAGGTTTAGAAGGCAAACTTGAAAGCTGTGCATGAATGTGTTCAAGTCTGTTTGGGCTCGGCAGAAAGTAATATAAAAATTACAAACTTGAATAGACTGGTCCTTAACAAACTCTTCAAGGAATTGAAGAGGTTTCTAATTGGCAGAAATGGTGTTACCTTTCTCCCTTCAACCCTTTGAATGTTCAAAACTGTTCATAAGGAGATTTTTAATTCCATCCAGCCAGAGTCTCTACTCAGTGGCACTTTGAACATCAGACCTTCCGAGTAATTGTGTGTAAAGAGTTATTTCTCAAAATGAAATAGATTTACAAGGAGAGTTATTGGAACATGAGCTTTACAGAAAGAGATTACGGAGGCAGAGTTTTAGAACATAACTTAAAGGAGATAATTTAGCATTTGAAGAAGGATATAAAAAGCCTATCAAAGGTATTTTGTTTTGCTGCAACGTAGTTCTCCATCTCCATAATCATAAAAATAGGACTAAGAGGAATGTGTACCTACTTTCATAAGATGAGCAGTAGCTAGCCTCAACCCTTAACTTGATCCAGTTGGCTGCCAGGCATGAAGTAAATACTGCTGCTCTGAACTTGCACCTCCTCAGGTGTGGATGTCTTTGCAGAACTAACTGCAGAATGATGGAAACCAATAGGGCAGCAGGAGCTTAAGGAAGAAAGGAGGTTATCAAACACATTTTGCAACTAAAACACATTAATTTATTCTTATGTTCACAGCCTAATACATATTCATGAAGTTTATTTAAGGCTCACACATTGTTTCCTGCTCTTGGCAGCACTGAAATAAATGCATTTAGCAGTGCCGGTTGGCTCACTTTTTGCAAGACGACAAACACGTTCTGCTTGCTACTAAACTGCACTCAGGTTATACCGTATTCATCAAGTAAGTATTCATCAGCATGTTTGTTCAATAAGATAATCCATAACCTGGATTAATATCAGCAGCATCAATTAATATCTAATTACAAGTAGTCACGGCTGGACTTGTTTAGACTACAGAACATGGAACTCTACAGCACATGAACAGGCCCTTCGGCCCACAGTGTTGTGCTGATCATGATAAACTAAACAATTTAAGAGCCTTCCTGCTCCTATGATGTGGCTTGGCCTGCTGTGTTCATCCAGCTCTTCATCTTGTTATCTCAGATTTTCCAGCATCTGCAGTTCCTACTATCTCTGAAACTAATCCCTTCTGCCTGTCCTTGGTCCATATCTCTCCATCCCTTGCATATTCATGTGCTTATCTAAAAGTCTCTGAAACACCCTTATTGTTCCTGCCCCCAACACCACCCCATGCAGCACATTCCACACTCCTACCACTCTCTGTGTGAAAAAGTTATCCCTCACATCTCCTTTGAACTTTCCCCCTTTCACCTTAAATGCATGCCCCCTGGTATTAGACATTTCAACTCTGGGAAAAAGATTCTGCCTGTCAATCCTATCTATGCTTCTCATAATTTTACAGACTTCTATCAAGTCTCCCCTCAGCCTCCACATCTTCAGAGAAAACAACCTGAGTTTACCTCTCCTTATATCTCATATCCTCTAATCCAGGCAGCATCTTGGTAAACCTCTTCTGTACCCTCCCCAAAGCCCCCACATACTTTTGTGTAATGTGGCAACCAGAATTGAACACAGTACTCTAAGTATTGCCAAAGCAAAACCTTATCAAGCTGCAACATGACATCCTTACTCTTGTAATCAATTCCCTGACCAATAAAGGCAAGCATTCCACATGCCTTCTTTACCACCCTATCTACTTAAGTGGGCACTTTCAGGCAGCTATGGACTTGAACCCCAAGATCCCTCTGTACACCAATGCTGTTCAGGGTCCTGCCATTAACTGTATAGTTTTCCTTAACATTTGATCTCCCAAAGTGTAGCACCTCACATTTAAACGGATTAAACTCCATCTACCATTTCTCTGCCCATATCTGCAACTGATCGATATCCCAATGTATCCTTTGACAACTTCCTACACTATCCACAGCTCCACTGATCTTGTATCGTCTGCAGACTTACTAAACCCACCCATCTACATTTTCAACCAAGTCATTTATACATATCACCAACAGCAGAGGCCCCAGTACAGATCCATGCCTGAACACCACTAGTCACGGACATCCAGCCTGAAAAACACACTTCCACCACTACTCTTTGTCTTCAATGGGCAAGCCAATTCTGAAACTATGCGGCCAAGTCACCGTGAATCCCATGCATCTTAAGTTTCTGGGTAAGCCTACCATGAAGGGCCTTGTTAAAAGCCTTACTAAAATCCATGTAGACAACGTCAACTGCTCTATCCTCATCGATCACCTTCTCGAAAAATTCAATCAAGTTAGTAAGGTATGACCTGTCCTGCACAAAGCCATGCTGACTGGCCCTAATTAGTCCATGCTTTACCAAATGTGCATAAATCCTATCCTTAAGAATTCTCTTCAATAGCTTCATAACTACCGATGTGAGACTCACAGGTCTACAGTTTCCTGGATTATCCCTATTTCCCTTCATGAATAGGGCCCTGGGGAGTTATCCTCCTTATTGCTCTTCAAGAGACCCAATACCACTTCTTTCTTGATCTCAGAATACCCTAGCTTGTTAGTATGCTCTCACTATCCTCCATATCCTTCTTGTGGGTGAATGCTGACACAAAGTACTCATTCAGGATTTCCCCCACATCCTCTGCCTCCAAGTACAAGTTCCTTCCTTTATCCTTGAGTGGTCCTATCTTCTCCCTATTGATCCTCTTGTTTTTAATGTGTGTTTAAGAAGTTGCTTTTTATTCTATGCTCAATACATAAAATAAATAACTTGATACTATATTCCAATGCCTGTTACTCATCTTTGAGATTGTTAAGCAAACCTACAGGTCACGTTAAATCAGACACCCCTTTCTGACAAATGTCTTACCATCCGACTGGCTGTACCTGCAGCACATTTTCAGGAAGAGGTTGGTCACGTGTTTCAGGTAGGAGTAAACAGAAACTTCCTGCCAATAAAATGAAACTGCCCATAAGCAGGAAAGGCAACATCCTGTTATACGTTCCTAAAAGACACAAGGAAAGAATTTTACAAATGGCTGGGCACTGCCAGAAGTGCGATTTCAGTCACAATATAGCAAGTTAGATTTGTAGGTATGCTAATAATACATAATGCTAATATTGTTCTCAAAGGGCGTACCATTCAGGCCTGGTTATAATTTAGAATCATAAATTCCCTACAGCATGGAAACAGACCATTTGGCCGATCATGTCCACACCGACCCTCCGAACAGTATCCCACCCTATCCCTATAACCCTGCATTTCCCATGGCTAATCCATCTAGCCTGCACATCCCTAGATACTATGGGCAATTTAGCATGGGCAATCCACCTAACCTGCACATCCCCGCACAGACACGGGGAGAATGTGCAAACTGCACACAGACAGTCACCCGAGGCTGGAAGCGAATCTGGGTCCCTGGAGCTGTGAGGCAGCAGTGCTAACCACTGAGCCATTGTGCCACCCTGGAACATGATTAAGTATCAGAGTGGTCATGAAGAGACTTCCCTGCTGGAAAATATCTGTATATTGGAACTTTGGGTAAATCACATAAAATGCGATCAAAAGATAGAATAGACATGAATAATAATCAAGGCAAGTCTTTACCATATCGAGCCCGATGTTGGCATCACTGCTGCCTCTCTCCAGAGGTAAATTAGTAAAAAAAACTTTAAAAATACTAGAACTAAAAAAAAGCAAAACAAAACCAAAAAACAAGAAAGAAAAAGGAAAAAGAGCAGACAGAATGGATGAGATTACTCTGCCACCATCTTGCAATTTGCAAATGTAGGTATGCCTTGAAAGGAAAGGGGCAGAAAGGGCAAATGGAAGTGAAACTCTGCTTGAAGCATTTCCTCTCCTAATCTCTTTCACACCCTTGCTCACCTACATATTCACCCAGAGCCATGGTCATGGTCTGCCATGACACAAGGGCCTTCAAAGCCCAAATACCAACCAAAGACATCTCAGTAATCAGAGCAAGGGAACGAGTAGCGGGAACACAAGAGTAATCAGAAAAGGAAAGAAAGGGCTTACATCATGTTTCTCTGCACATTTATGAACCATTAAAAATTTTTCAGAGTTCCAGTGTCCCATCTCTCCATTAATTTTGCTTGTCGTGTGTCAAGTGGCCTTCTGTATTATGAAGAGTAGAATGATCAGAGTAAAAGACAGACAGTGAGTGTCTGTGAATGGGATGGATTGTTGCTGGTAGAACTGCTTTGTGCAAGGGGCTGGGGCTGCAGTTGAGGATGGATAATGGGTTCATAAATAATGAGCCGGAAGGCAGCCCTGCCTCAGATCACTAAACTGTGCCTCACTCAGTCTCTGCCAGGAGTCCCTGCCAGTTCATTAGAAGACTGAAGGCACAAGGTTACATCATGGTCTTTCTTCTTTAAAGATACAGGGCATTCATCACTTTGGACTTTCTGTGGCTTCAGTCCTTGCTACTCTGCCGTGATGTGTAATGTGCAACTTCCAGTATCATTCTAGCAACAAGTGCAGGGGCATACAGATCCTGCCAGGCACCTGGATTCACAGTTACAGCTTGCCACTTGCTTCCTCAGTGATGACAGGGGAACTAATGGGGCACCTGCTGGACCTTCTTTGGACATTGATGTTTCAGCTCCTCACAATTATGTCAGCCACATCTTCAGAAGGTACCTCTGATCTCCAAGATGCCTTTCAGCTGGGAGCTGTGAATAACGGTGGCAAATCTGACTGGCTCAGGAGAAAGGCATCATCACAGCTCCCAGGGTAAAGTGCACAGTCATGCATAGTGATCTCTCAATGGTGGCTGAACAGCTACATTCTTTACTTCATTTAGAGACTGGGGACTTTATTGAAAAGATAGCGTCCAGTGCTTGAGAAGGTGGTGCCTCACACTTAGGTTAATTGAGGCCTCAAATGGTGAATGAAGGACCAGCATGGGGCCTTTTGCTGTGGCCACTGATAGTTTCCTGAGACAGAAAGGTGGGACAATGCTAAGGTTCAGGTTTCGGGGTAAGTGGGATCATTGTGGTCCCTGTGGTGGTCAGGCACCCTGTGACTTCATAGGGAGCCGTACTCAATTGCAAGGAGCAGACCCTATGAGAACAATCCCCTGGGCCCTTGGCTTTTCAATCGTTCTGCCAAAACCACTCTTGCATCCCCACCATCCTAGATCCCTCCCAGCGAGCCTACCTATTAGATTTAGTCTGGGCCTCCAGTGCTGTTCCTGGTCTGGGATGTACAGCTGTCCCCTCCAGTCCCGATGGCGGAGCAAGAACTGAAGAGCTATTGGCCTCTGCTTAACCATGTTGCCCAAAAGGGCTGAAATCTAGTTGCCTGATGACCGTAAAATTTTTGTTGTGACTTCCAGGGAAATTTAAGGTGAGCTCACCAACCACACTCTCTCACATCATCCCTCCACCCCCGGCCAGTGGTACAGTGTTAAATGCCAGCCAATGTGCTTTATAAAAATATCAGGAGCTTGCATATTATGAACTGTCTCCTTTACCTTGCCACTGTTCTGCTAAATCTACTGGGTGTGGGAACTTATATGAGCTTAAGCTCAAGCTGCCCATAGGCATTGCCACACTAATCTCCTAGCAGCAAGTGTTCAACTCCTTGGAGAAATCTAAATGAAGAGCAAAAGGATTTTTAAAAATTATTTGCAGCTATTTGCTGGTTTTCCTTTCATGTCTTTTCCTTTCTTGCTAGTTTTTCCTGAATATGTCTGCATGATCAATTGTTTTTATACATATCATTTTCATTCTTATTTTTGTCTACGTTACCTTACAATTTCATCTTTGTACCCCTTATTTTATAAATTGTGGTTAGTGGTTGATTTACGAATACAAAGTTAATGTTAGTCCAAAGAAGAAATATAAAGTGCAGAAGACTGTGGCAAGACAATTAGAACACACGTGATGTGACAGATAATGTGCATGCCAGTTTCAATGTAGTTTTTATATGTGCAATAGGTTTATATGAAATTATAGCAATCAAATTGAATTGGTGGCTGAGAATTTCCTCATAGCTGTTCAGTGACCATTATTTCTGTCCCAACATAAAGTAAAGATATTGTGGTTAATCAGGAACAGTTCCCAAGGTGTTCCCAGCAAAATATTCCAAATTCTATTCTTAATGCCTTCCTGATATGCTCAAAATTTTGTCAAATTTTCAAGTTGTCAATTTTTTACCTCTTTTAAAAAAACGCGGTCAATTACTTGTCAACTCCTCACTTACCAAGATAAACAAAATACGGGGAGATTATGCTGCCAACTCGGGATGCCATGGAACATATGCCAATCCCCATGTTTCTCACCACAGTCGGATATAACTCAGCAGAGAAAACGTAGACAATGGCGAAGGATATTGTGATACCTGCTTTTCCAATCATCACCAAGACTGTTGTCAGAATATGAACAGCTGTAAGAATCAAAGTAAGCAATGTTTAACATGTGCAGAAAGGCATTACAGAATTCTTGTTGCAGGGTGTGTTTTTTTCTGAGATATGGCTCCAGATTTACCGTTAATTTAATGCGTTACTATCAATCCAATTGTGACTCATTGCACAGGGAACAAAAATAATATCTCTTTCTTCTTTGTCTATCATTTGTGCATTTGCACACACTGCTAATTGGCATCTGAAAAATCAAAGCTTTGCCTCCACTTTAACAGCCACATTAAGATAGACAAACAAAAAACAGATGTTCAAAACTGAGCAAATGATAACTGCGCAGATAGGAAAAATAAACCCACAGATCTTCATTACCTTCCCCTGGAGCAATGAGTCTAAAATTCTGACAATAACTCAAGTTGGGAATTGAGAATATGAGGTGTATGCTTGACTGTGCTGGCATCAACCTCATGAGCTCTGGATGGATTTAACTCAGGGCCTCATCTGTGTGGTTCTGGTCAGTCTCTCATCCAAAGTCAGAAGGTGGCAGTCTATTGGTGGGTGGCAGTGCAGCATCTTGGGCAAGACACCACTTCTGAGAACCAAAGGAACAGTCTCCAGTGTTCAGGTAAATCAGAAGGTGGGGTGGTGGACTCAAGTTGAGGATCGCTCCTAGTGCAGGGAAGGCCTAACATTTCCAGCTGCTCGGTCTGGCCCTTTAAGGAAAGTAAAGCAAAATTAAATTTAAAAGATGTGTTATTCTGGACGTCTTCTGATTCTGCCTCATCTTTCTGCCAGAATGATCAGGAAGGAATGTCACAAAGCCTCCCCTGCTTTGGCCTCTGTCTAATATAGCAGTCAGGCCCCAGAGCTGGACATTTGAAGGCAATCCTGCAGATTTCCAGTGAGTGACCATCCCACCTGCTTAGAAGAGTATGTTAAAATCAAACAGGGAGTAGTACAGTGGCAGCTATATCCTCCCATCGATTTGAACTGGCCTGATTTCCAATGGGCAAACAGTCTTAAACTTTAAAGAGTGCATCTTGCTCCAGGCAGTTTTTAGGCTCTTGAGGATTCACAAATAGACCCAGCACAGACCACAAAATCCTAGGTTTTTTCAGACATCCCTCTTTTTTTTTCTCTTCCGGGGAAGTGGACATCATTGGCAACATTTGCTGTTCCTCCCTTATTGCCCTGGAACCAATGTCTCTCCATTTGACCATTTCAGTAAAGAGTCAATGACATTTCTATGTATCTGGAATTACATGCAGGCCACACTGCATAAGGATCGCAGATTACCTCCCAGCTGGGTTTTTATAGCTTCTTTGTCATCATTACTCAAACCCGCTTTCAATTCTAGATTTTTCAGGTGGATTCAAAATCTCACTGTTGCTGTGGTGGGATTTGAGCCCATGTCCCCAGAACATTAGCCTGCGCATCTGGATAACTACTGCAGCCTCATGGCACTTTGTCCATCTCCATCTGCACCTGTGTATTAGGAACCAAAGTTTGTGGACAGGAATGTCTGTCACTTGAATATTGAAACTAGGACTGCACTGACACCAGACCCTGGCCTGATTATAGCAGGTCAATGAAGCCGGAAACTGCCAAGTTAGCTCTAGAGAGGCAGCTACTTAGCTTCTTTCACCATGCCCCTCGTATTATGAGTCTGGCAATTGAATGCTCTCCTATCAAAATGAAAAGGAAATTCTCCATTCTTTTTAGCTATTGAAGTATATTTAAAAAATTTACAAGGATGTTACTGGGACTAGAGGATTTGAGTTATAAGGAGAGGCTGGATAGGTTAGGACTTTTCTCCCTGGAGAATAGGAGGTTGATGGATAACCCTACAGAGGTTTATAAAACCATGAGGGGCATAGATAAGGTGAATAGCAAAGCTTCCCTTAAGGTGGGGGAATTCAAAACTAGTGGGCATAGGTTTAAGGTGAGAGAGGAAAGATTTAAAAGGGACCTCAGGGGCAATTTTTTCACTCAGTGGGTGGTGCGTGTATGGTCCAATTTGCCAGAGGAAGTGGTAGAGGCGAGTATAATTACAAAATTTAAAAGACATTTGGACAGATACATGGATAGGAAAGGTTTAAGAGTGATATGGGCCAAATGCAGGCAAATGGGACTGGTTTAGTTTGGGAAACCTGATTGGCACAGACGAATTGAGCCAAAGGGTGCTATGTGACTCTATGACTATATGAAGAATAAAGAAACTTCATGCAGTCAATCATTCTGAATAGTGTGAAAAGGAAATAAATCTTGAACATGACCATAAGTTGTGATCCTATGGGACAAGTGTAGGGAGTAATTGAAATGAATGTTAATGCTTTGGAATCATTCAAAATGAAAATACAGTCAGTCCCTGGGTGGCAAACAGGCTCCGTTCCTGGGTCTGTAAGTCGATTTGAACGCAAGTCAGAACACAATACTGAACAGCATAAAATAGCTGCTGATAAGTACATTTCTGATGAAGTACATTTCTAGGCCCGAAACGTCAGCTTTCCTGCTCCTCTGATGCTGCTTGGCTTGCTGTGTTCATCCAGCTCTACACCTTGTTATCTCAGATTCTCCAGCATCTGCAGTTCCTACAATCGCTGGTAAGTACAGTTGGATATTTAAGACTACACCTCTGTATGGGATCACATTCGCAAGTACGAGCGTTCGGAAGTCGGACATTTGTAAATCAGGGACCTCCAGAAATGCTGTAATGGAGAAATTTTAAAGAGCGAGCATTTCATATTTTATGGTATTCGTCAATATGCCCCTCGCAAACCAGGGACTGACTTTTCTGAACTAAAGTGTTGGTGACACAATGAGTGGTGCAGTTAGGATTTTCCCATTAAGAGATCTTTCAACCTTAATTTTCTTTTTTTTAAACTTCAAACAATCCGACTTTAACAGGAAAACAAACAAAAATGTCACCAGGAAAAAGAGTGAAGCAGAGAACCAAAGACATTTAAAACAAACATGAAGTGGCAGCATGCTGTAAAGCTCTTACACGGAGGAATAAATTGAATGAAGAGCAGAATGACACCACCAAGGATCAGCATGGTAGCAGTCGCAAGTCGTCGAGGTGCATGCTTCACCATACACCATGCAGCTGAGTACGCTACAATTTCACTGATTGCAGAAATAAAACAGTTGAGATAAGGATCACCATGCATGTTGGGAGTTCCCAGGGTTAAAACAAAGTACCCAATGGAGGTAATCATCCTACAATGAAATAGAGAAGAAATTAAAGCATTTCCACCTTGCATAAACGATTGTCTAGAAACAGTACGCAGGCCACTGTTAGAAATTCATAAGACAACTCACACTGCTACAACACCAGTAATGTTGTAGAAATTAATATTTCACAGCACCTCATCTTGGAGAAGATTCAGTATTGGAAAAGGGACTAAAAGTACAGTCAAAGGGGCTAATTTGCTTTTAGAAGATGGGTCCAGTCATATGAAGCTGGAGAACTGAGGATGAGAATGTCAAAATGCAGGCTATGACGGTTGAATAATTTGCCATCAATGGTGGAGAAGGACAAGGATCGTAATATAAACTTCAAATAACAGGATGGAACAGCATAGAATAGAAGAGACATTTCTCCTAACTTTGATTTCATTAGCATGGTCCACAATGTGTCAAAATAACAACAATAAAGTGTCAAATGGGAACATGGGGCTCAATAACGTTATAGAGGTAAGTCAAGTACCGCCTGAGTTTACACAGCAATATTTCACAACCTCAAAACAGCTCAAAGTACCTTTCAGCCAATTAACAATTCTGTGTTGTGGGAAATGATTCATGCAGAGCAAAGTTTCACAAACTAAAAGGGAAAAAAAGGTATTGACATCTGTTTTAGGCGAGTGGGAAGGAATAAATGTTATCAGTGGGGTTTATGTTAAGGCAGGATTGTGAATCATTAAACCACCACTGGGAAAACTGGGAGCTTCCAACTTGAAAGTGACAACGACATGGACAAAGATTTTGACCAGTAGCAGGGAGGTGCTAGGCACAGACACAGGAGTTATTTGCAGGGTGAAGTTGGGCGTGATCTGCATAATGGAAAGGGAGTTTTCCTCTGCTATATTTTGTTATGAATGTTGAGTGTAGCTGATTTACACCAAACTTACACAAATGTAAGATACCAATTGTAGCAGAAAAAAAAGTGTAATACTAGACTGAGCTTTTAAGTTAAAGTTAGCTCCAATGCTATGAGACAAAAGATAAGTAAAAATTGAAATTGATCTAATATAAATTAATCAGTAATTGGATGGCTTTTCAGGTAGGTTAAGTGAATGTAAAAGCCCTGGAATGACTGACAAGGCAATGAAATGCTGTGTTAATATTAACAACAGGTAAATTGGACAGTGACACAACAAAGTGAATGAATTGGATTTCAGTATGTTTTAAAGTGTTTATTACATTTTCATTTCATGTTTTCTTCACAGCCGGAATCATATTAGCTGAAAACCTGTGGTATGATATGCACTCAACTATACAGGATACAGTCAGTCAAATTGCTAGAATTCTCAAAATTCTAGAAAGTTCTGCTCAGATGGTTTCAAATGATTTGAAGAACTAGAAGACACTTTCCAGAATCTTTATTCAGATAAAGTTTATAAAGTTTGTTTTCATAACAGAAGGAGTAATGTTCCTGAGTAGCTTCTCTAAATCTCCAACTACAACATCAGACATGCCAAGGAATGGCAATAATCTCCCATTCACAACATCTCTCTGGTGCTTCTGCTGATCTGAGGAAGGGTCACCGGACCCGAAACGTTATCTCTGATTTTTTTTCTAAACAGATGCTGCCAGACCTGCTGAGCTTTTCCAGCAACTTCTGTTTTTGCTTCTGCTGATGTTCTGTTGAAGACATGGCAGAAGATTGTCAAAGTTTCCTTGCAAGTACCTGGTCGGCTGCATGTGTGACAGAGACAGTGAGAGACAGAGAGTGAATGTGGCGACTGGGGAGTGGGGCAAGTGACAAGCCCACATTATGTTGCTCATATGAGGCCTTATGATTTCAATTTACGAGCCTCATTTCAATTTGATTGACAGATTATGCATTGATCACAACAGGAAAACCCAATTTTGTTATCTAGTTACTGATGGCCCAGGAGGCCTATTTTTGAACCTCTTAAAGCAGTTTGAAGTTGATGTCAAATCTTGCATTGATATTGCTGTAAGATAGCTACAAACTTGGAATTACAGTCCTGCAATCTTTCAGTCAAGCTATTGATATATATGGCAAGAAAAGACAGTACAGATTTTTAGAAAACACTACTTGTCACATCCTGCTGGTTAAGCAAAATCCCTTTAGCTTTATTGACTGTCTTCTAACCTCCTAACCCATGCAACAGGGTTAGCTCCAGTTTTCAGTTTTATTCATTTTTATTTTTGATACAGAACTACATCACATTCCTCACGAAGTCCGTCCTGACACCATCCATCATGTCAGTGACCTCCTCAAGAACATCCATTTAGATTAGTCAGACATGACCTAGCCATCTCAAATCCATGAGATAACAAGGTGTAGAGCTGGATG